CCACGCGCGGGAGGGCCGCGCGAGGCGCCGATGGCCAGGGTCCCGGCGCGCGGGCCACGGCTCATATGCCCAGAAACACACAAATCCGCACTACCAGGACGTGCAGCAGGCACATGGCCACGCACGCACACAGGAAGACACCCAGCAAGAGCCTCATGGCCCCAGCACCCCTGGCCGCACAGACGCAGGAAAACGCAGTTGCTCTTGAAGCCACACACCCCGCGCCACACGCGCGCGCCTAGCGCACAGGCACCCACCCTGCGACCCCAGCGCGCCCTGACACACAAGCGCACCCCACCGCCCTAGCGCGCCTAGCGCACGGGCACACCCTGCCAGACACACAAGCCCACCCTGCCACTCAGACGCCGGCACAGAAACAGTCCAGCGCCGCACATGCTTAGTCATGGGCAGGGAGGCAGCCAGTGGACAGGCAGTTATGAAACCCGGGGCATTCTCCCACACGTGCCGGCCCCCAACACATGGTAGCACACGCAGAGCCACGCACACACCTAGACACACAAGCACACTCATCCACATATGGACACAGGTGCGTGTATTCCGCCCCGTCCACCCACACACTCTGTCACATCAGGGCCTCAATCCTATCCAAACATAACCAAGTGGACTGGCACACACGCATGTACACACAAGCACACATCTGATGTCCACAAGCATGCACACCCAGTCCCCGCCAGGCTCACAGATCACAGAATCTTGGCCACGCACTTGCAGAGTCATACATGCACAGTCACCCAACACACGATCACAGAAGTCTTTGTCCACAGTGGCAGGTGTGGACAGCCTCACCAATGTGTACACACACACACACACACACACACACACACACACACACACGCAGAGGTGCACACCAGGGACTCAGCATGTATCCTAGACCCCCTGGGAGGCCTTCACTGCAGGTCACCAGGGCCTTGGGGTGGGATGCTGACTCTGCCTGAGACCCTCCTCCTCCACAGAGCTCCGGGGTAGAGGTGGCGTTCCCCAGCCATTCCCCTCCCCCACAGCTCCTGGCCTCAGCTTAGAGCCCTGCTGGAGACAAAGTCCTCCTCTGGCTGGCCAGCCTCCTCCCACCCTGGGGAGGCTCAGAAGATGGGGGGGTCGGTCTCTTTGGATGGGTAATTTGCGATGCTTAATTTGCATCGATTAACTTGCAGGGAGTGGGATGCCCATCCATCTCAGGGCTTACCCTTCCCCACAGTACTGGAGGGGGGTGAGCTTTGCCATTTTTGAACCTGGGGGCTGGGTGCTTTGGCCTCTAGGCCATCTCACCCAACCCTGGCAGGTCTGAGCACACACTTGCCATCTTAGGGATAGGGGTGGGAGGGTGGACTGTGGGAACCCCCAGGAAGGAAGCTGGGATGGGCACGTGGCTGGATGAAGACTCGGCGCTGCCCAGGGCTGGCTCCCAAGAGGCTGGAGGGAAACCCAGCCCCAGACAGAGTGTTCTCTACTGTTCTCTGCAGAACACCCAGATGGGCAGAGGCTAATGGAAATGGCTTTGGGGACAGGCTGGAGACAGCAGTTGGGTGCTGTGACCTCACAGTCCCGTGACCCCACCCTCTTCCATGGACTCTTTTCTTTCTTTCTTTCTTTCTTTCTTTCTTTCTTTCTTTCTTTCTTTCTTTCTT